CATGTTATTTAGCAATAGATTTTCTGCTACTAGATGTAGGACGGTGTAAATCTATGATTAAATTTGTAACTTGTATTTAATTAATGTGATTACTGACAGACATGATCGGCAATTGAGGCTGGCGTAACCAAAGTCTGATATGGCTCGCCACGATTATTTATGAGTCGAGTCTGCTTTTTAGTAAGTTTGATCATTTTATTAAACTTGGTTTATTCCGAAGCCCAAAAATATACATGAACCAAGTTTGAGCCTATAGTCACGAGATCTGATAGTATATGAGAGTGAACCAACCTAAACTCAACTCACATGGCCCGATTGTCAGCCCCACTGATCATAAATAAATTTGTTTCATATTTTATTACATATATTTGATGATATACTTATTCATTTTCTTACCATAATGATTTTTATAAGCAGGTTAGGGGAATGGAAAATGTGGTAATTAAAAGTCCTTCACACTCATTAGTCATTATTTGTTTGATCAAAAGTCCTTTTCTTCTTCTTTTTGTTTCATTAAAGTCGCTTTCTCTTTCTTCCTTTTACACTTAAATACAAAAATACACCAAAAAATAAATCAACACACATATATACACAAAAAAGTACGCCCACACAAACAATAAAAAGATAATTTAGATAGAGAGTTTAATTATTATATTTAATTAGAGAGAACTTAGCTACAAAGCTTAGTTATAAATTGGATAGTGAGCTTAGAAAATTGCTAATAGCTTGATTTAGCTACATTTTGATCTTATTAGTGAAAAATGACTATAAAACCATTGAATAAAACCACAGAGATGACACGTTGTTAAAGAGATTAATTAGCGCATGATTTGCTCGGAAACAACGTGTTTTAAGTTTTAACCCTTGGATTAACAAATAAACAAATGAAACGTAACTGTCATAACATACAGTGGTAGAAATTAGAAAATGCCATTTCTTACTTAGGGCATATTACAAATAAGCCCATCAGTGGGAACTTATTCATAAAGAGATCCAGACAATATTCTCCTTTACCAATAAGTCCACACATGGTCCAAATTTATGTAAAGGACTAAAATAACCCCTCTTACTTTAATATGCTCCAATTTCATCCTTAACTTACTTTAACTTCAATTTGACCCCAACTTTCACAAATTATTCAATTTTGACCCAAAACTTTTTTTTTTTCACAATTTTTTTTTTTTTCAAAAACTTTTTTTTCCCGCCGGTTTCCGGCGTTGACCGGCGGTCAACGCCGGTCTCCGGCGTTGACTTTTTATTTATTTATTTTTTTTTTTTTTTTTTTTTTTTTTTTCTTCCGGATTTTTTTTCCGGATTCCGGCGTTGACCGCGCGGTCAACGCCGGTCTCCGGCGTTGACTTTTTAAATTTTTTTTTTTTTTTTTTTTTTTTTTTTTTCTTCCGGGATTTTTTTTCAATA